GCGCAGGGGCGGGGTGGAGAGGGTCGAGAGGGCCGAGAGGGCTCGGCAACACATCGCTTTACGACCATTGCCCACAATGTCGTGTGCTCGCAACGCGACCTCACAGAGATATTTATCGTCCCGCTGCCGCTCTGCCTCTGCCCCCTCGTTCCGCTCTTTCTCCTCGGGTGGAGAGCCGCGATTTCCACCGGAATCTCGCTGAATCTCGAGCCGCGATTCCTTCGTGTGCCCTAGAAAACGACACGAGAAGGGGAAAAGTGTTTTTCGATAATGATTTCGAGATACGCGATCGAGGATCAAGAAGATTTCGATTTTCGCTCGGATGATCGGGCAGAGTCGAGTAAATAAGTTTTCGTGAGAAGAAAGGAGGAGGAATAATTATTTTATCATCGTCAGAGTAAATATGCTCAAGCGATGGAGCGCGAACTCGTTCTTATTTTATCTCTTGAACTCGAACAAGCTTCAATTTATCGATTTTAACTTGTAAGCTGAGCAATTTACAGATTGATGACGCGTTTAACTCTTCGAGGCACAAAATTACCCATTATCCGTTAAAAAATTAAAAGCAACATTAAATCTCATATTCCCATCCCATAGTGGAGTTTCTAACTCGTTTGATCGAATTGATCTACGTTTCTCAAACTCGGTTTGAAAATACAAATACTTCTCCATTTATAATATCCTAATTGACTGTCGTTCAATTATTTAAATCCCATTCGTCCATCAAATAAATAAATAAATAAATAAATAAATAGATTTAAAAAAGTGCAGAAAAAGTAAGAGAGTCGAGAATAACGAAACGGTAAACGAAGCTGAATTCGTTACGGAGTTCGAAACCCCTCGCTTAGCCTAGAGGCTTCGCTCTCCCGTGAAAGAGCGTTACGCCGATAAAGCGAAATTCCTCCTGCTCTCGTAAAAATTCTTTCGAATAAATTCTCCGATATTATGCGACCGATAATTACGACCACGGCTCTCCCAACTCGAGAGCCGAGGGAAAATTACGAGTTCCCCGCGACGGTAATTCCTTTCCCTCCTCCGGTTCTACGCGGCTATCGCCGAAACGGCTCTTGGCTTAACCGATTTTCCGCGATCCGCTTAAATCCTTGCGCGCGGATCGAATTATAACCGCGCGTCGATCCCGCGCGATAAGGATCGAGGAACGGCGAACGCCTCGCGGCCTGTTGCGCCCCGAGAACCGCGATTTCCCGCTTTCGTTTTAACCACGGAACAGGAGGTGGGAGGAAGAACGCGGAAGAGCGTATCGCGAGGCGAACGCTAAACGCTTCTAAATGCTTCTCGAATCGACGCGAATTAGCGTTCGAGCGCGACCAACGAACGCGCTTCCGAGGTCTGGTGAAAATCGAACGATGCGAGATTAAATTACGGACGTCGTACGAAGAGCGGGAACGAAGAGCGACGAAGGAAGACTTGGAAAGCTTATCCGGGGCGCATTCCGAGCGAGGATCGCTCGTCCCTTCTGCTCGCGTTAGCCCTTTAAGAGAGAGAGAGGGAGAGAAGAAAGAAAAAAGGAACGCGTGGCTAATTACGCAAGACCAGTATACCAGATTGAGGAGGGAGAAAGGGATGCAGGGAAAGAACGGATGAGGAGGTCGAAGAAATTCCAAGAAGCTGGAAGAACCGTAAAGATTTCAACGACCTCCACCTACCTCCGTGACCACGGTCCTTGGTCCTTGGAGCTGGTCGAAGAAAAGGGCGCGCAAGGTAGACGAGAAATATCTTTTCAAAGAATATCTCGAAGAGGAGGAGGAGGGAGGAAGAAGAGGAGTCGTCGCGGCCGGTGGCCCGCGTCCGGTAGAAACGGTAAACGGTGCACCGGCTTAAAGCCCGTGGAATTATCCTCCTGTAAACACCTACCTAATTAAGATTGGAACATTTTAACGTCCTGCTCGGGGACCCCAATAAACCGCCTAACGTACAGCCAGTTTGTTAGGCGCTTATGGGATCGTTTAATTAATATTGGCGTCGGACCAGCGCGGCCGGCTCGAACGACCGACCACCTCCGGCGCCTCCATGTCTTGCCCCTGTACACTTGCAACTTGCACCGTCTAACGTGTTCCAGCAGGGACCAGCTTCCAGCTTCTTTCCTCTCCCCCCTCATCTTTACCCCTTCCTTTATCTTTCCTTCTTTTCCACGCTTCTTTATTTTTCACGGATTCCTCCAGCCGAAGTGCAAGCGCGTTTCGCAACCCGACCCTCGCGATGGAAAAAAGTTGAACGTACGCGTGTCTCGAACGAGTTGTGCTCCAACCTTTCGACCGTCCATCCATTCACGATATCCTCGTATCGTCGTTACTTTCCAACTCCTCGCGGCCGTTGGAAGGGAAACGAAGAAACGCGCCAACTGGCAGGATCTGGACGAGAACGGGGCACGAGGAAGAGAAGAGAAGAGAGAACAAGCAACGGGCACGTTGCCGGCACACGGCACTCTCGGTTCTGCCTCTCTGGAAGGCGAGCAGGACGATTAATCACGGTCGCGTTTTGCGGTTTTGTCGCGCGTCACGACCCACGTGCGTTCCGCGGACCCCATTGTTCCGCGTCTAATCGTTCCAGGAACGGTGCCGAATGATCGTTCTTCGTGGGAGAGTTGGTTGACTCGCGTGTGCGCCGGTGTCCATTCACTCGCCGCGTCCATCGTGGACGACGCAACCTCTTGGCTCATTTCCTCTTCGTTCCTCTTTTACGATTCATTGTCGCGAGAAACTATATCGTGCGCGCTAAATCCAATATCGAACAATGTCGCCGGATCGCGTCATATCCGGATAATAAATAAAAGCGGTAATCGGGGCAAACGAACGTGGGTTAAATGGAGCATCGCGTCCGGCCGAGGTAGGCGTCTCTTA